ATACGTAGTTCTGGGAATTCGTAATACTGTCGACGACCGAATGTCCGTGGCACGCGATAATGGATTACACACACTAATGTTCATTTACTACTCACACATAGACATAGCCMAAATRTTCATGTTATGTGAATTGCCTAAATATTACTCCTTAAAACATGATACGCTGGAGCCCCCTTAATACGTTGAGTGCCATGGCATTTAAGATGTGCATTTATAGATTCTGAGACAATGATCAAAAAAGTAGCGTTGAGAATACAATTATATCTAACCATATAATACAGGTCAAAAATAATATTCTATCTGTTTTTTTTTCGTGACCATATTATACTAACCAACAGTTAGTGAACTTAGTACCTACATTATTATATATTCTTATCATACTATTCTATATTTGTAACACTACCCGTAGTTATTGGCTCTAGCCCTAGGGCCGGTTGATGTAGATCTGGCAGCCGTCCCAAACGTCGTCACTTTAAAATCTATGGTTGGGCAAATGCATTATTCTGCTTCTCCTACAATAAATGACACCCCTGTGGCCTATGCTATAACAACTAGACAAGCCTGAAGCCAAAATAATTTATAGCAAGCCAATATGATATTTTGTACCCTTAAGATAATAACAGTGTATTGGAGGGTATACGACGTATACCGCGGATCCCTACTTATGGATTTATGCATATAACTTTAGAAAATTCGTCTATTATGGGTAGACGCCAATTATTAAAAATTAATACATTATGGGCATGTGCAAACTTCTAATTTATCATTAATCATAATTAATATCACTGTATAAAATAAATAACAATATGCAATTATTATCTTATTATGTACACTATGCAGTGTATATATATTATGCTCTGTCCAAAATAAATAGCCTCAACCCCGCATGAAGTTCGGTATTCGGAAAATGCCGAGAGTGTTTACTGTATACTGTACCAAGTACCTATAGGCATATACACAGAATTTTATAACGTTCTGCGCGAGTAATATYGTGTGTAGTGCAAGTGATGKGTTAGTTGAGCCTCATTGCTTAGGCGAACGGCGTGCCGATATTTTAATAGTTAAAAATAGATCAGTGATTAAAAAGTCTCTAAGGTAATCGTGCATGTTAATTGATGATTAGGGCTCGGAATTTCAAGCATTAAAAACTATCAAAAATCAAACCGGCATGGTGACATTATACAATTTATGATGTGGGAAAATATAAAATAATTCATCAAACCGTATCATGAATACTTGGGATTACTGATGGCTTCTATAAGTTAATATAATAATTCTCCTATTCGGTGGCGTATTTGAAAATACAACGACTAARGTTTAAATTAAATTCAACATTATTAAGAATTTTCAGGACATAAATAATATAGTAATATAAGTATCGCCTACTTTTAATCAGGTTTTTGTTTTACTTGTTTCACCATGGTGACGTTTTTMTTACTTATTTAGTTTTCATAAAGACAAAATATTTTGAAATAAACTCAAAATCCGATATTTTCATGAAATATATATACCTATTATTTCAAACATTTATACAGTAAAATGCAATTTTATTTTAAAATTAAAATTCCATTTTTGAACTCTTTAAACAGTGATTCAAATTTGTGGCTGATCCAGCAACTTTTTGATGTACTCAGTAAAACCATACAAATGCTAACCTACCGGGTGCTATAATTGATAATATATATCTACGGRCAATCACAATAACTTTGTATATTATGTATATTAGCGTTAAGATATTTCGAGCGAAGCGAGTATATTTTTTAAGGTATACKTATACCTATTCAAATACTTTTTGGTGCTTGTACCCATACATTTATTTACCAATTCACCACTGCTTATAAATAATATTATTACCTATCGTCTATCACAATTAACCTTAGGATAAGCTATTAAGCTCTGTTGAAATTGTTTTATTATTATTATTATTTATTACTATAGTCTATAATAAAAACATATCTGTACAACTTTTTTATTTCAAAACTATGTGTAGGTATAAAAATCAAACTTTGACGAAATTAGATTTTAATAAAAAATAATTATAGCCTATTTTGATGTCAGTATCTATTTCAAGACAAACGTTATTCAAAAACATAATTTTATATATTATTATTTACTAAACACAGTTAATCTATAAAAAAAAAATATTATTACATACAATCCAATTGAAATTCGAAATTTTTCTTAGTTATTATTCTAAAAATGTTGATAAAAAA